GAGTGGGAGGGGGGAGGGTTGCGGGTGGGAGGGATGTTATGGGGGGGAAGCCATTGTGGTCCATGGGCTGTACTTTGGAAATTTATATTCATTAAATAAAAGTTTAAAAAATAAAAAAAAGATAGTGCTTTCTTGTTCAACATGAATTTTTGCACTAATTTAGATTTTCAAAAACACTGCACTTAAATATTATTTTTAAAAGATTTAGTTATTTGGGGCTGCCACTTAGGGTGCCTGCATCCTATGTAGAAACAGGTTCAAGCCCCAGCTGCTCAACTTCAGATCCAGCTCTCGGCGAACATGCCTGGGAAAGCAGTGGAATATGGCCCAGGTGCTTGGACCCCTGCACCCACGTGGGATACCCGGAAGAAGCTCCTGGATCCTGGCTCTGGACTGGCCCAGCTCTGGCCATTGTGGCCATTTAGGAGTGAACCAGCGGATAGAAGTTACCTCTCTCTTTCTGTAACTCTGCCTTTCAAATAAATAATAAAAATTTTTAAAAATATTGTTATTTATTTAAAAGGCAAACTGACAGAAGAAGAGAGAGACAGCTTCCATCTTTAGATTCACTCACTGGATCAATAGCCAGTGCTGGTTCAGGCTGACACCAGGAGCCAGGAGCTTCATCCAGGTCTCCCATGTGGGTGGCAGGGGCCCAAACACTTCGGCCATCTTCCACTGCTTTCCCAGGCACATTAGCAGGGAGCTAATCAGAAGAGGAACGCCCACGGCTCAAACTGACCTCTGTGGGACACCAGCATCTCAGGCAGCAGTTGAATACTCTGTGCCACAACACCAGCTCCAACCATTATTTATCTTGATTACTGAGTTTTCAGAACTCCTTAAATTGTGTGTCCAGGGCAAGTGCTTACTCATCCAACCCTCTTGGCCTCAAAGTAATATATATATATTTATGTATATATGTATATAATATACATTATACAATATATGTATATATGTATATAATATATATGTATATGTGTATATATAATTGAATAAAAAAGGGGTTTGTAGATAAACATCAAACACATCTAAAAATACACAAAACAACTGTTAACTCAAGTCTGGACTTATTTGCACAAGGATACTTCAAGAAGTTCATGGAAGAGGCTAGAGTTTGGCATAGCAGTTACAGTTCCGCCCAGCCCCACCCCCACCACCAGTGCCTTGAGATGACTGCGTCCCATTATCAGAGTGCCTGGGCCCCAGTCCCAGCTCCATTCCTGACTCCAGCTTCCTGCTGATGCACACCCTGGGAGGCAGCAGGTGACGGCTCGAGCCCCTGCCACCCGTGCGGGAGACCTGGATAAAGCCCTAGCTCCTGCTACTGCAGCCATTTGGAGAGTGAACCAACGGATAAAAGACCTCTCTCTCTGAATCTCCCTTTCTCTCTATAACTCTGCCCTTCAAATAAATAAAGGAAAAGAAAAAACTGCATGGATTTCAAGTTTTTATACTTAAAAATAGACGTATCTTTAAATTCTATTGGTTCATGACTTTTTGTAGCACCCCCTCGCGTAACTGCAAAGGGAACCTCTGGAAAGAGACACAGCCAGTGTGAATGGTGGCCCTCTAGGAGTGGAAGAGAGGTCAGAGGCGAGCCTTGGACAGTGAAGGCCAGACTTCGGTGTGGTTACTCTGCACTGTTATTGCTTAAAAGCTTTTGAGGCCGGCGCCGCGGCTCACTAGGCTAATCCTCCGCCTGCGGCGCCGGTACCCTGGGTTCCAGTCCTGGTTGGGGTGCTGGATTCTGTCCCGGTTGCCCCTCTTCCAGGCCAGCTCTCTGCTGTGGCCAGGGAGTGCAGTGGAGGATGGCCCAGGTCCTTGGGCCCTGCACCCCATGGGAGACCAGGAGAAGCACCTGGCTCCTGGCTTCGGATCAGCGTGGTGTGCCAGCTGCGGTGGCCATTGGAGGGTGAACCAACGGAAAAGGAAGACCTTTCTCTCTGTCTCTCTCTCTGTCCACTCTGCCTGTCCAAAAAAAAAAAAAAAAAAGCTTTTGAAACAAACATTTTTTCGGGCTTTATACATGTAATTTGAAGCAAGAGTAAAGTGTTTAAGATTCAGAACCTAGTGGGAAGATGGTAGTAGAGAAAAACCTCTTCCACCACCTCTGCTGGGTTCCTCTGAGGCCTTCTTGGGGTTCATCTGCCACGTGTGTCTCGCCACAGGCTCCTCCCCTGCATCCACACTGATTCTTTCACGCACAATCTCGTTGAGTATCCTACTTTTTCTTCGAGGTGTGCTTTGTTTCTTTTGGGTGTCCCTGGAGTCTACAGTTTTCCAGATGTTATTCTTTCTCCTGTTTACTCCACAGAATACGTGCTACACAGCCAGTAGTCAATCCGATAAGAAGCTGTTCCTTGCTAACGGGAAATGGAGAGAGAGAGGTCTACCAGGGGACTGTCCCCCAGCCCCTCCCACCCAGCTACCCAAGCACTGTACACTTTGATCATTCCCGGATGAAATGTTTATATAATGATCTGATTCACATCTGTAACACCTGAGAGGTAAGATCCTGGCCTGTCTGTGTCTGTCAGTGCCTCAGTGCCTGGTGTATACCAGGAGCTCAGTGAGTGAAAGAAATCAATCTCTCAACAATGTACATGACACCCACCCAGCACTTGGTTCTCAGGCTGGAGTGCGCAGCACAATCCCCTGGGGTGTTGTTTTATTTTTAGCAATCCCAAATCCTCGCCTCCAATGCAGACCTATTCAATCAGAATCACTGGACATAGGGATTCGGCAATTTTTTTAACTTTCCAAATCACTTCTTTTTTTTTAATTTATCTCTTTATTTGAAAGATATAGTTACAGAGACAAGAGAGAAACAGGGGGAGACAGAGAGGGAGAGGGAGAGATCTTCCATTTTCTGGCTCACTTCCCAAATGGCCACAATGGCCAGGGCTGGGCCAGGCTGAAGCCAGGAGCCAGGAGACTCTTTTGGGTCTCCCATGTGAGTGCAGGGACCCAAGGACTTGGACGATCCTCTGCTGCTTTCCCAGGCACATTAGCAGGGAGCTGGATCAGAAGTAGAGCATCCAGGACTTGAACCAGCACACACATGGAATGTCCAGCAGAAGGTGGCTTAACCTGCTGTGCCACAGGGCTGGCCTCCTAGATTATTTCAGGATAGGCTGTTTGCCAACAGGGGACACCAAAACGACTCCAGTGGCCCCAGGAAGTTCCCTACAGATAGCCCCTCTAGGCCTTGTCTGGTGAGTGGGTTCATCTCTTAGACTGCATCTTGGGAACTGGGTTTTGATTTGGCTGTCAGAGTACCCTACCCTACATGTATGCTTTGAATAACAAATGCATTCAATATGTAAGTAACAAATAATGATTCAGTAGTAATGAATGGAATGACCCTCATTCCCCACGGGAGATTTTCCTCTGTCCAGGCTCTAACGAGGAAACTTCCCACACCCAGCTCTCCATTAAAGCTAGCCCGCATACAGCTATACCATGGACCGTTAAAGAGGAACTGCTTTGTTAAATAAGTACCAAGAGTGAGCAGCAGGGGCAGGCACTCCTAAACAGGTGACTTTGTCCAAAAATTCTCTGCCCTAAATGAACAGGGCAACCTGAGTTTCTCATTCTACACTGTGGAATGCTGGATGGCTCTGTGGGCTGCTCCTCTTTCTATTAACAAATGGTTGTTAAGCGATTTTTGTCTTTGGCTGGGGATTGAGGGAAGGGGGTTGTGGACAGTCACAAGCCTTACACCTCTTTGGGCCAGTACGGGTTAGCCATTGCCATGTCTGCTTTTGGTTGTTCTAAGACATTAGCTGCCCAGTCTCCAAATAAGACCATGACTTCTCAGCGTGCCACTCTCAAGTTGTCACTTAGCTCAAATGTATCTGTCCTGGATGCTCTCTCTCTCTCTCTCCTTCTCTCTCTCTCTCTCTCTCTCTCTCTCTCTCTCTGTGTGTGTGTGTGTGTGTGTGTGTATGTGTGTGTGTCTGTCTGTCTCCCTCACTTCCTCCTTCCCTCCCTCTCTACCTCTCTCTCTCATTCTCATTCTTGATCTCAATCTCAATCTCTCTCTTCTCTCCCTTTATCTCCTGGCATAGTTACACCTGGAAAAAGAAAATCTAACTTTGAAGAGCATTCAATTCCCTTCTCTTCAAGATCTCTCATGTACCAGACCCCATGCTAAAGACAGGATGTTCACAGACAAACCCATCCCATCCCAAGCAAGGGTGGTCCTACTCCCCAGATACCATTGCACAGAGGGAACGGAGCTTGTAGAGATTAGAGATGTCACACACACACATCTGATTCTGAGGCTATGGAGGTATAGGAGCTAGTTAGGTGGATCTTGGGGTCAGAACCCAACTACACAACTGGCAAACTGTGAACGAGGGATGCCTGTGATTTCCTGAGGCTCTCATCAGTAGAGTAGGTAGTAGTGAGGGTTAAGGTGAACATCCTGTGTGGAAGTGTCTGGCTAGACACTTGAACACAGAAGGCACTTCACAAATATGCGTCGATCTATTTGTTCCATGTTCTTTATAGCTGGAACATAGTAGCTGTCTTGGAATGGGAGCTCTGAGAGGGGCAGGGTTTGTGGCCCCAGCCCTCTGAAGACTTCCAGTTGTGGGCATTCCCAGCTCCACGCCTTTCCTGTATGGGTGATAAGGTCAACTAATGCAAAGTAGAGGAGTGTTAGAGGAAGCCCATAGACAGCACGGTTTCCAGGATATGGGAGCAGCTCCCTGATGGAGGAAATTTCTTCCCTAAAAAGTCAGAGGCACTAAGAATCTGGCTTGGCTGGGCCTGAAGCTCTGCCACAACCATATCCCATGAGCTCGTTGCACTCTGCGCGTTGGGTTCCCTGTGTGCTGCGTCTCCATTTGCTCCACCTCACCAGCACATGCTTACATCCACCTGATTCCCAGCTGCTGGCCCTGGCCATGGTAGAGTTTGGTTTACCTGCACTCTACCAGGATTTCTCGACTTGCACAGCACTTCGAGGCTTTTTATTAGGTTATATTTTGCTTATTAATTTTTAGTGTATTTTTAAACATGTATTTTGTATAAGTGTCCTTTGTTAGTTATGTGCTACAAATAGCTTCTACTTGAGGCTGGCATTATGGTGCAGCAGGTTAATTAGCTGTTTGCAATGCCAGCATTCCACATCAGAGTGCTGGTTTGAGTCTTGGCTCCTCCACTTTCAATCTGCGCCCTGCTAATGCTCCTGGGAAGCAGCAGGTAATAGCCCAAGTGCTTGGATCCCTGCCACCCATGTGGGAGACCAGGATGGAGTTCCTGCCTCCTGGCTTTGGACTGTCCCAGCCCTGGCTGTTGCAGTCATTTGGAGAGTGAACCAGCAGGTGGAAAATCTATCTATCATTCTCTATCTATCTATCTCCTTCTCTATTTCTCTGCCTTTCAAATACATCTTGAAAAAAATAGCTTCCACTTCTATTTTGTGGTTTGTGTTTTAATCTCTTAATGTATCTTTGGATAATTTTCTAATTTTAATGTCTTCTTTTTATCAATGTTTTCCTTAATGCTAGGGGGAGGCTTTATGGGTAGTGAGTTCTTCTCTGAGGAGCATGGAGAGAGGAGGGGTTGGAAAAGCAGGATACAGCTTGAACCCCTTTCCCTGAGACCTCTCTCCGGACACACTCAGCAGCTGCCCCCGGCCAAGGGCAGGTGGCCAACTCCATCTCAGTATCTAACAGAGGGAATGAGATTCTGGAGAAGAGCAATTAACCTGAAGCTTCCACACCATGAGTACTCTCAACAGGGAGAAATTGTTCTGCACTCACCCCTCCATAAACACCATGGTTGGTGCTCATAATAATTGGAGGAGTCATTGCCTAACCACTGCCCAGATGACATCTGAGTGGATTTCCTGGTGGAGATGATGGCAGGGGCAGGTGTGGAGACTGCTCTTTTTAAAAAAATTTTATTGTGTTTTATTTATTTATTTATTTGAAAGAGTTACACAAAGAGAGAAGGAGAGAGAGAGAGAGAGAGAGAGAGGTCTTCCGTCTGCTGGTTCACGCTCCAATTGGCTGCAGCGGCCGAAACTGTGCCGACCCGAAGCCAGGAGCCAGGAGCTTCTTCCGGGTCTCCCAAAGTGGGTGCAGGGACCCAAGGACTTGGGCCATCTTCTACTGCTTTCCCAGACCATAGCAGAGAGCTGGATCGGAAGTGGAGCAGCCAGGACTTGAACCGGCACCCATATGGGATGCCAGCACTGCGGGCAGTGGCTCTACCCGCTATGCCACAGCACCGGCCCCAAGACTATTCTTTCTCAGAATCCATGTGGCGCAATACCCAGGTGGGATGAAAGCCCAGCCAGGTTCTTCTTCTTGTCTGAAAAATGCCTTTGATCTCTTTGCTCTAATTATAAAAGTTATGCACGGTCAGACTAGAAAGTCTGTAAGTTTTATTTTATTTTAGAGACAGAGACAGACACACAAACACAGATTTCCTCCCCAGGTGCCCAGCGATGGCCAGGGCTGGGCCAGGACTGAAGCTGAGGGCTATGAGTGAAATGCAGGTCTCTTGCATGGGTGGTAGGGCCCAAATACTTGAGCCACCACCTCTGCTCTCCAGGATCTGTAGAAGCAGGAAGCTGGAGTCAGGAACCAGAGCTGGGTAATGAAACCGGCTACTTTGGGATGCGGGTGTCTTAACTGGTAGGCTAAAAGCCCACTCTGAAATTTCATAAACTCAGAGAGACAAAAGGAAAGACCACCAATACGATAGTTAATCACTGCTAGATTTCCACAGTGGACAGCAGGACTCCGGATGGAGTGCAGGCAGAAAGCTCAGCTGTTCTGAGTCCCCAGACACTTCCATCTCTCACAGCTCCTGCTATCCTGGGCAACATAGAAATGGCAAAACAGGGATGGTGCTGCGGCATAGTGGGCTAAGCCCCTGCCTGGAGCACTAGCATCTCATACGGGTGCTGGTTTGAGTCCTGGCTGCTCCTCTTCCAATCCAGCTCTCTGCTTTAGCCTGGGAAAGCAGTGGAAGATGGCCCAAGTGTTTGGGCCCCTGCACCCAGGTGGGGAACCCAGAAGAAACTCCTGGCTCCTGGCTTCAGATCAACCCAGCCTGGCCATTGCGACCATCTGGGGAGTGAACCAGCAGATGGATGGAAGATCGACCTCTCTGTCTCTTCCTCTCTCAGTCTATAACTCTACCTCTCAAATAAATAAATAAATCTTAAAAAAAAAAGAAAAAGAAATGAGAAAACAGGAGAGCAAGATATGCTGAGATGCTTATGTTTAATAAGCGGACACTCTTAAAACACCGTCCCAATATATAATTGCTCGTAATTGTGGTAGTCACAGGATAGGCACTGGATTTACAGAAGCAGTAAATAATTCACGAGGCAGGGGCCCGCTGTGGTGTAGCCTGTGGTGCTGGAATCCCATATGGGTGCTGGTTTGAGTCCCGGCTGCTCCACTTCCGATCTGGCTCTCTGCTATGGCCTGGGAAGGCAGTAAAAGATGGCCCAAGTCCTTGAGCCCCTGCACCCACATGGGAGACCTGGAGGAAGCTCCTGGATCCTGGCTTTGGATCGGCCCAGCTCCGACTATTGCGGCCAAATGGGGAGTGAACCAGCGGATGGAAGACTCTCTCTCTCTCTCTCTCTCTCTCTCTCTCTCTCTCTCCTTCTCTCTGTGTGTAACTCTGACTTTCAAATAAATAAATAAATCTTTTAAAAAATAATAATTCACTAGGCACCGCCAGCAGTGCCTTCTGCTCATGAAACCCAAGGTTAAAGCTGGGGGCACACACATCCTTCCTCCACCTTGTTGCTGTAGCTCTGTGGTCACAGGTGTAATCTCTTCTGGATGGAAAGTGCAAATCCAGATTTAAGGCCCTTTGTGAATTTGAAGCCCAGGCCACAACAGGCCCTGAAGAGAAGGAAATATTGAAGATCATCCTCCTAAACCCACTGCTAAGCCCAGCAAAGTTCCCAACTTTGGAGAGGAGGATTACTCCAGAGAAGTTGGAGGAAAGCAAGTAGCACTAACGGTAGCACTGTCTCTGAGCATAAGATCTGGAAGAGAAGTTAGCACTTTCTTGTAATCAGGTGAGCGCATCACCAGTTGCCAATTTGTCCTCCTTCTGTAATATACAAGGAGGCTTCACAAGATGTGTAGAAAAACTGGAATTAAAAGATAAGGTTAGGGGCCGGCGTTGTGGCACGGTGGGTTAAGCCAACACCCGCAGCCCCAACATCCCATCTGGGCACAGGTTTAAGTCCCAGCTGACCCACTTCTAATCCAGCTCCCTGCTAATGCACCTGGAAAGCTGTGGAGGATGACCCAAGTGCTTGGGCTCCTGCACCTACAATGGAGATCCAGAGAAAACTCCTAGCTCCTGGCTTTGACCTGCCCAGCCCCAGCCATTGAGACCACTTGGGAGTGAACCAGCAGATGGAAGATCTCTCCCCCACCCCCTCTACATCTCTCTCTTTGCAAATTCTGACTTTCAAATAAATAAGTCTTTTTAAAATAAGTCTTTTTTAAAAGATAAGTTTATTTTAGTTAGTGCAAAAAATTTTGAAACCCATGCAGAATTGTTTCATAATATGCACTTTCCATGAACTTTTTTAAAGACCCATCATACGTACATACATGTGTATATATACACATATGCATACACACACGTGAAGTAAAACCAGAAGCTTCCACAAGCTCTCATAAATCAACCTAAATCATTTTTTAAAGATTTTATTTATTTGAAGGGTAGAGTTACAGGGAGAGGTTGGGGGGAGGTTTTCCATCTGCTGGTTCACTCCCTAAATGGCCGCAACCGGGACTGAGCCAGGCTGAAGCCAGGAGCCAGGAGCTTCTTCCGGGTCTCCCATGTGAGTGCAGGGGCCCAAGCACTTGGGACATCCTCTGTTTCTTTCCCAGGCCATCAGGAGGGAGCTGGATCAGGAGTGGAGCAGCTGGGACACGAACTGGCGCCCATATAGGATGCTGGCGCTGCAGGCCGGGGCTTTAACCTGCTGCACCACAGCACCGACCTCCCCATCCTAATCTTCCCAAGTGCAGAATGTGGATCCCAGATACTGACCAGGATTCAGTCCTGCCTCTCCACTCCCCTTACTAGCTGTGAGACTCATTGTTGAGTTTGTAACCTCTCTGATTTTGTTCCTTCAATTACAAGAGCAAAACAAATCCTGTCTCACAGAGCTGTTGCAAGGATTAGATTTTTTAAGATTTATTTTATTTATTTGAAGGCAGAGAGGGAGAGACGGAGAGAGAGAGAGCGCGCGCGTGCTTTCATCTGCTGATTCACCAGGAACTCCAACCAGGCCTCCCGTGTCGGTGGTAGAGGGCCACCCTGCTTTCCCAGGCACATTAGCAGGGAGCTGGATCAAAAGCAGAGCAGCCGGGACACAAAGCACTGCTCTGAAATGGGGGATGCAACACCTTAACAAGGCGCACCAGGAAGTGGCCTCATTGCAAGGTTCAATGTCACCGTGATTATGCAGACTTCTACCCCCAGGGGGCGCTCAGTACCTCCTGGTGCCTCTGCTGAATAGCGATAATGATCTTCAGGCTGATCAATGGAACATTCACTCTGTGAGTAACCGGAATGTATATCAGGTTGATAGCATAATCAGAGAGAGAGGAGCTATACTCCAAGTAACTTTAAACAAAATGAAAGTAAACCTGATAAGGAAAACCATTAGAAACATCTTTAATTCTGTCCCATAATCATTTTGTCGGTGGTGCTATTAGTATCGTTACTCTGAAATGGTGCTGTGGCATGTGTGTGGTGTGTGGTGTGTATGTGGCAACTGTGAGGTGTGTGGGTGTGAGGTGTGTGTGGTATGCGGCGTGTATATGGTGTATGTAGTGTGTGTGCAGTGTGTGTGTGTGTGTAGTATATGTCTGTGGTGTGTGGTGTGTAGGGTGTGTGTGTGTGGTATGTGTGCAGTGTATGTGGTGTGTGGGGTATGTGTGAGGGGTGTGTGTGCAGTGTGTGGGGTATGTGTGAGGGGTGTGTGAGGGGTGTGTGTGGTGTATGGGTGTGAGGTGTGTATGTGGTGTATGGTGTATGTGGTGTGTATGCAGTGTTTGTGTGGTATGTGTGGTATGTGGTGTGGGGGGGGTGAGTGTGTGTGGTGGGTGTGTGGGTGTGTATGTGTGGTGTGGGGGGTATGTGGTGTTTGATGTGTATGTGGTATGTGTGCAGTGTGTGTGGTGTGTGT